TTATGGTCCCTATGCTAACCTACACTCTAACCTCTAGTTCTTGTATTACTCTGCTCTGCCATTTTTCCTCCCAGATTCTAGTCCTCCTGGTTTTACTCTAATCTGCTAAGCATGGCAAGCCTGGCACTCAGCTGGGTATTAACAGTAACCTTCAAGAACTACAGACAGCCATTAAAGTTATTGTTTTTAATTTTTAACAATGTGTGAAAATGCTCATGATGCATCATATTTTTAAAAAGAGATATAATTGTAATTATATAAATAAAAGCACACTGAAATGGTGACCAACATATAATAAGTTATTCTTTTGACACAATTCTAAGTGCTTTAGAATGTTCATTCATTTTATCTTTTAATAACTCATTGAAGGAGATGTTATAATAAATTCAATTTTACAGATGAAGACACTGAGGTACAAAGTGGTTGAGTAACTTGCCTGCAGGGTCCAATAGTGTTGAACTAGAATATTTACTCAAGCAACCTAAGTTCAGAACTTGTGCTTTTAACCATATACTATATTGTTACTAACTGAGTAGGCAAAAGCTCAAATACCATATCACTTACAAAGGCCAGGCAATCAGAGCTTGGCACATAGACCACACTTAATAAATGACAGTTATTACTATCTGTTATCATCATATTACATGTACATTTACTAGGGCAAAAATGAGAAAGATTTACCAAAGTGATAGTTACATGAATCCGATTATGACCCATTGTAAAGATATAAGCTGAGGCTTATAAAAAATATTCCTTAAGTGATGAAAGCATTACTATAGAAATTTTGTAAATTCTTCCTGAATATAGGCACCAAATACAAAAGGGCTATAATAGAACACAATAATAATATAATGATAATTTATTAGATATTAACTATGAGTCAGACTGTCCTCAATGCTTTATGTCTTTGTGAGGTAATATGATTAGTTCTATTTTACAAATGAGGAAAAGGATGAACAAAGAGGTAAAATAGCTTGCATTAGGTCACATGGTAAATAAGTAGCATAAACATGACCTCCAGGGGCCAAGGGAAGGTATATGAGATAAGTTAATCTGCAGGTCTTCATAGCTACCACTATTCCACTAAGGTTTTGAAACGTTGTCTCAAAAAATCAGGAACTGAGACTAGACTACATGGGTGATCTTTAGATCTTAATTCATAGCACACTACCTGCCCTCTTCCTCTTTGAAACAGTGCTTCCATATTATTTTTATAATTAAAAACAAAATTATATTTAAAAAGGCTCAGAAATTAGAATAATTCTTAACTAGTTAAAGATCTAAGTCTAGTCTGATTATTAATACTCTAATTTAGCTTTAAGTCCAGCAGGGCAGTTGTGCAACATATATGGGTACCACTGTCAGGTCTCATAAAGATCAATAAAAAAGAGAAAGATAAAAATTCAATAGAAAAGAAAAGGGTGAGAAAAATAATGAGGAAAAAAGTAAGGGGGAGATGGGCCAAAAATTTACAAAATGTAGGCATAGGATACCAAAAATACTCTTAAATAATTTTAGGTGGCACCAATGTCTACTCTGGTTTCGGTAACCTCAGACTAAAGAATAAACTCCTGAACCTTACCCATTTGGTCATAACTGAAGCATTACCACAGTGGCATATCCTAGAATTTGGCTAAAATTACTGACCTTCTTGAAGAACATCGAACTATGTCTTTAAACACATGATTCCTACATGGAGCAGACCTGAGTTGGTATCTGGGTGTGTAACTATCCTAGAGTAATCATTAGGAGCTATAAGCAATGGTAATAAGAGAACTATGAACACAACCCATTACAACTGATATATTTATAAAAATTAATTATCTTCAGTTGTGAAGCATATTTGGTTTTTTTGGCAACATATTCATTTTCCTAATTCTATTTTGTTTAAGCTAATATTAAAATTACTTTACTATCTTTGAAAACTGGCAATAGTAACAGATAGTATCAGACAACAGGGATAAGTTACTTTGCAAAAAATCAACTGATTGCAATATTATGGAGAGTACACAAAATAAAATATTGCTGTATGATACAATTTCATCCAAATATATATGTTATAATGTGTAAAAACAAAAGAGAAAATTTTCTTCTCTTTTCTTTTGTAATTCCCAACCACAAAGCAGAGAGAGAATAAACAACCTGTGGGAATAAAAAAGAAAAATAAATATTTGACTCAGTGTCAAGTAAATTTGGGACTCATTTACCATGAATGCAAGGCTATTTTCAAGAAGTTTCTAATGGATTTAAATAATAAGTTCTTTATTACTTATCTCCCATATCTTTAAGTTATTTAAAAATTAATCCAATGATTACCAGTAAAATACATTGATCCCAAAATAATTAATTTCTTTTTTTCCAATCAAATAAGTAAAGTAGATATATATAAATGTCTTAAATAGCCTGGTGTTGAGTGAATGGTTATTAGTATGTTGGCCAAAATTAAAGGAGAGGTGGTGGTTTTGATAGTCAGAAGTTGAGGAAGGATGGGATCTATTATGATGTTAGAGTAAACTTCTTCTGATGAAGGAAGATAATGAGTCTCTGTGAAGAAACCTCATATGTGACCAGATTATTTTATTTTTATTTATTAGAAATGAGAAACATTTCTCTATTAATTAGCCTCTTATTTTCTCAAACCAATGTATAATTTTATTTTTCTTAAGTCAGTTGAATAAAGAATTGACCATAAATCTGCATTTCCCCTTAAGTACCTCTGAAAGGCTTGGAGAAAAAGAGTTTATGAAATACTAGACATAAAGACCAAATATCTAGAGAAGAATTCTGAAATAAAGCAAATTAGGTATGACTTTAGGTTAGTATGTTTTATGATAAAAATTGAAATTCAAAATAATATTCACATATTCTAAAACAAACTTAAATAAGTTCATCTGATAATTTGGAATGTTATCTATAAACCTGATGCATAAATAATTTGACATAGTATATCCTTGTAAGAGTAAGGCTGATAATATGACATGAGAATAGGTTCCAAATATTAAGTAGCCAATTCTTCCCTAAATTAGGAGAACATGATTCTCCACAAACCCATGATTTTTGTTATTGCATTACCATCTATTATAGAATTTGACCCACACTTAATTTTGTAAAACAGTATGTTGTTAGCAATTACATTTATATTCTTTATTTATTATTTCTATTATGTGAAATTCAATGACTTTGCTAAAAAAACAAACCCTATTAAGTTCTAAATGAGATGTTTGCCTTCAAGAGTTTATTTAGCTTGAAAGCAAACAAATTAGACTTACTTCCTTCTGGGATTAAACTGTACTTGAGAGTTCCCAACTACACAATTATTTTAACATGTTACTCTAACTAGAATCACAATAATAGTGATTTTTAATTTTATGAAGAGAATTTGTTCTGACAAAGCCAAAGAATTAGAAATTACATTTCGCAAAAAAGAATCACATTTAGTTTTTACAAACTAATATTTCTAGCAGAGATCTAATCAGTGAAGAAATTCTTATTAATATGTATTTACATATGAGAGATAGGCAAATAATGAATTCACCTCTAATATAGTGTTACTCAGCTTTTCATCTCTGTGACATATACTTGAGAAAAACAACCCAGGGGAGGAAAGATTTATTTTGGCTCATGGTTTCAGAGGTTTCAGTCCATAGTTGGCTGGCTCCAAGGTGAAACATCATAGTGGAAAGGCATGTCAGAAGAAAGCTGCTCAACTCATGACAGCTGGGAAGCAGAGAGAGAGGGAGAACACCAGCAGAAGGGACCAGGGACAAAATATAGTCCCCAAGGACACAACCCCAGTTAATTACTTGCTATAGTTACCTACCTGCCTATAGTTTCTACTACCCCCCAGTAGTCCAGTCAGGGTATTAAGCCATCAAGTAGATTAATCCACTGATGATGTTAGAGCCCTCCTGATGCAATCATTTCCTAAAAGCCCTATCTCTGAACATTGCTGCACTGTGGACCAAGCATTCAGTACACAAGCTTTTGGGGGATACTCTAGATTCAAAACATAATAAATAGAGTCAAATAATAGCCGTCCTCTATAAGATTGGGTAAATATATGGCAATGTAAGGGTGCAGAATTTGTCTGCTTATCTTGGATATAAGTTTATCCCACAGCTGTTCACAGTAAGAACTCTCATGTTCATCTTATTCTTAGTCTGTCATAGGAGTCTAGGCTACTTTTTGTCTGATATATTCTAAGAATGAATTAGCTTCTGAGACACTCAGAAAACAGCAGTCTTTGTAGGCTTCTACTTTGGGGCAGATATAGGACCACAAAGTGATAAGTGATAAGCTTCCTTAGAACCTTGTTCCATAGTACTAAGGGTTTATATGCAGTCTTCAAGGATGAAAATCTCCTTAGTTTCTTTACCTAGATGTCTCTTTAGCCCCATCTATAGAGATTATTATACTGCTAATGAGAATAGTATTGTCTAGTTACTTATTTGCTGGTTCTGAAGACATTATTTACAAAAGTGTAGATAAAAAAAGAAACAGAAACTTGTACAGTATCTAGCTCATTTGGTCTAATCCCTAAGTCTTATTATCTATGATTTCTTGATTATTTAAATATTTAACTTTTAAACATATGAACCAAATAGATTTACTAAGGCAACACCCAAGGTTGCCTTTAGCTTTGCCATTCAGTAAAATTCAAAACCATCTTCTAACCCCAATTAGTTGGTATAATCACAGAATTTCTATTCACCTCAATATAATTTCCAAGAAAATACATTGAAATATATTTAAAAAAATACCTGCTCACTACTCCAGTGAAATATGATGTGCTCCAAATCATTCTTTCAAAGATCTATTTTTTTGCTCTTTGGATCATAACATATTATTTATTCATTCAACAATTTGTTAAATAATCTATTATGACAAAATATTGGAACTGAATCCTACTATCCTTCTCCATCTTGTATAATTTGGAGTACTCCCACCCTGAAATTGAATTACAGAATTTTTTTGAACAAAATGTGTTCTCTCTTTGATACCTTATTGTCAGTCCTAATTGTGACTTTCAGTTGTGGTAGTACACGTTCAACTTCTAGACCCCATTCTGCAGCATCTGTTGTGGATTCCAAAATATCTTCTTGTTTGGCAGACTCGTTCATGTCCTAAGAAAGGAAAGATATCACAAGATTGAGAGTTTATAAAAAGAAATGGTAAAAATCTCAAGACATTTTAGCAGCATTGCACAATTTAAATTGAGGCTGGTAGTGTTAAAATTATAGTGGCAATAGAAATTCCTTTCTGTGTTCCTACCCAAGTTGAAAGAAAATAATGCAATAACCTGGTAGAATAGCAAAATAAGCACTAAGAAGAGCAAATACATGATATATCTGTTTTATAAAGGACAGTGTCTTTGAGATATCAGAATGAACTCAATGAGAATATTATCAAATGGACAAGCCATTTATGTATGTCAACTGGCAACAGTAGAAAAATACAAATACTCATGTTTGGTAAGAAAATATTATTTAGTTTAATTTTACTATGTATAAACAGAAATCCAAAAGCTGAAAAAAAAAACAAAAAAATCAAAATGTCAAAAGCAAAGAGCTTATTATTTATAAATTTTATACTAACAATTAAAGTAATATTTTGGTTAAGTCAAAGCATGATGTAGATTTAAAATGTGATTTAATATAGACATATTTGAACTCAAACAGGATAGGGACCAAATATCTACATTTGATTTCTGCACCTGAGTAATAAAATCAATTCATGACTGTTTTTGAAACACAAAAGGAAAACATTCTCCCCAGCTTTTCACATTTCAGCACTAAATATGTATGGACTTAAAAATGCAGAGAATATACAAATTAATGATTTAAAGATAAAGCCTAAGGCAATAATTTTGGTAGCAATTTTTCCCTTTAAATTCCCTTTATAATTATAAGCAAATCTACAGAAAAATATATAAATATTTATATAGAGATCCAAGTGACATAAACAGCCAAATACAATGCATGAACCTTACATGAATTGTAATTTAAATGAATAATCTGTAAAAAAGATATTTTTGAGGCAAGTATGGAAATCTGAATACAGAAGAGTATTGGATGATATTAAAAAATTATTGTTTTATAGGTACAATATCATGTTAAGAGAATCCTTATATGCTAGAAATAAATGCTGAGTTTATAGATGAACTGACATGATATCTGAAATTTAAAATTCTATGGAGCAAAGAAAACATAATTGACAAAATATTAATAATTGTTGAAACCAGGCAATGGTACATAGGATTCTTGTGTTATGTTTGAAATGTTCCCTAATACAAAATTCAAAAATAAGACTATGTTGCCGGGCACCGTGGCGCACGCCTGTAATCCCAGTGGCTCAGGAGGCTGAGACAGGAGGATGGCGAGTTCAGAGCCAGTCTCAGCAATGTTGAGGTGCTAAGCAATTCAGTGAGACCCTGTCTCTAAATAAAATACAAAATAGGGCTGGGGATGTGGCTCAGTGGCCAAGTGCCCCGTATCCAAAAATAAATACATAAATAAATGAATGAATAAGATTATGTCAACATAAAAGACTATGCAAGCATTATAGTGAAATCACATTCTCAATGTGAATTCATGTCATTAAAAGACAATTGTTAAATGAGCTAGATTAGATTAGTCTTTCAATTCAATCTAAAACTAAGTAGATTACTTTATTGGGGGATTTTTTTTTTTTTTTTTTTTTTTTTTTTTTTTTTTTTTTTTTTTTTTTTTGTGGAAGCCTGAGGTTTTTAGTGACTCTAAACTCACTTCTAGGTCTCTGGGGCACTGCTGACATAAGACAGACTCTCCTACCTCCCAGTTCATATCAGCAAGCCCTGAATAGACCCACAGCCTTAAATTTTGTTCAGAAATTCAAGGGACTGTAGTTTTTAACCTTACTATTTGAGAACGGATAACTAATATGATATGCTTTTATACTTTATAATTTGTGGTCTGGATTAATTTAGTTACATTACATTTAGAAAATCCTGAAGAAATAAAAAAGTAGGCATTAATCTTAGGAAAGTATGGAAAATCTCAGTGAAAAAGCTCAAAAGATTCTATTTAGACATTAAAGTGCTCATTTAAATACAGAAACATTGAATTATTTTTGAGTACTTAATAGAATGCTGTATATATCTATATAAATTGAATCCAGGGTAGCACAAAAGCACCCCAGTTTGGGGGACAGTAGTGGGGGTTGCAGCATTCACAAAGTAGAATGTTTAGTTCTGTAAGAGTATTGTGATGGCAGAAAGGGAGAGAGAGATTGGGTTTTCCTGTTGAAATATAAAACAATGGGAAAGGTTCTCTGTCATGTACATACACATTGGCACATGCATATGGTTGAAAAAGCCAGGAATACATACTCACTTGCACATCTGGGTACCTGTCCTGGGCTACAGGAGACCCAAATCTGACTAGTCCAGTTTCTATACCAAATAGGGTATGCTAGTTGGGATGGTGGTAGTGAGGATGTGTGCACTGCCAGTAAAGTGTGAATATGTGAGCCCTGACATTTGGGCCATGTATGTACAAAGGTTTGATCCTGCCAGGATTATGGGCCCCCAAATCCCAGTGCTGCAGGGCCAGGATGAATGAAGCAAGAAGGCATTTTCTCTGAGCAGAAGTATCACAGGATTCTTAAAAGAATGTAGACACTCACTCTGTTCACTGATTTAAAAATAAGTTTGATTTATACAGCTACCATTTATGTGAATTGAAACTAGATGTCTTTGATGAAATCCCAGAGCTAGAGCTGTCCAACCCCATCCCCTCATTTCCATTCCTCCTTATTCCCCTTCTTACAAGAGGTTAAAGTCCAGAATCACCAACAAGGCCAGAAGGGACACATATCCACAGTCCTGTTTTATTCAGGCCTAGAAGTAGGACTGTTCCAGTTGTGAATAATATACTAAAAATATTTTACTCGAGAAAGGGCATGTTTCTATAATTTTCATGAAGGCAAATGTGTTTATAGTGACCCTGTTGGAATAAGACTTAGAATTTGAGTTAGTAGAGCACATGACGATTAAATACTGCATTAGGATATCCCAGTGCTGGGCTATTTAGTAAGTTTCATTTACCCTTATTATTTGGTTCTCTTTAGCAATGTTTTACTGATACCTACTCCCAATGTCCTAAAATGATTTAAGCTCAAAAGGTTTCACTCAGTTGTGAGCAATATTTAATATACGGAGGGAAATGTCCTGGTTGCTAAATGAAAGGCAAAAAGATAACATTTAGTTTGGTGTAGAACACCATTAATTTATTCAAATTTCACAGTCTCTTTCCTCAGAGTTTCTTTTCTTTTTTTTTTTCTTGGCAGTACTGGGGATTGAACCTAGGGCCTATGCATATACTAGACAAGTGTCCTAATCTCTGAGCTACATCTACAGCCCCTTACTCAAAATTTCTTAATGCCTATTAACTGGATGAATCAACTAAGCAAGTTCGACATATGAAGTATAAATCATTTTAAAGCTCCATTGTGCCTTGGTTATACTACTTTGAGAAAATCTTTTCATTTGTTTCTCAGTTTAACAAATGGTATTTTATATGGGGCTATTAGTAAGAAAAACAAACTGCTGTTTTCATTTAATCAAAATTTTATATCATCCTGACAAAGTCCCTTTCTGAGACAACATTAACTAAGATCAAGCACAGCTCTTGGGAAACTGCATTTTCCAGATTCTGCGGCTGAAGAGACAATTAAAAGCTCAATAAGACACAAGGTATCTAGTAGTCTCATTTACAATTAATTAATTGAACCAATAAGCCATTTGTTTACCTCCTACAACATTCAAGTTAAGAATCCAGGTACTATGCTTGGTTTGGAAAGATAAAAGGATTTAATCCCTGCCTGCAAAGAGTTTATGGCCTATTAGGAAGACTTTGAGGTCAGTTAATGGAATAAAATTTGGTCTTAGGTAAAAGAAGAAACTGGTGAGATGAAACTGATTCTAAAGCTGTCAAAGGAAGAATTGAAGATAATAGTCTAAACCATCTCATAAAGTAACCTTGGGCTCAAATAGTAGGGCACAGCATCAAAGTTCAAAGATCAAACATGCAATGTTAACAGCCAACTCAGAATCTTGTTCCCATAGGTAATCTCTTCTTCTCCCAAGTAACATTAGTAGGATGCTGAAGGATCTAAAGAAAGACTATATTCTCTCTCTTTGTGGGTGTGTGTGGACATGTATATTCTGTAAGTAGATATGTGCATTCACTAAGGGCCTTGAAAGCCTGACCAAAATTTTATTGTTTTGTAATTTGTGTAAAACCAGAGAAAAGCTTTAAAAATTATCAAATTCAGAATGACCTGATAAAAGCCACATTTTGATAAGTTAGATACAGCAGTAGGGTAAAAATACCTTGGTAAAGGGTGGGGATGGGGAGGATGAGGACAAAAGACCATTTTAGGACATTGCTGTTATATAGTCCAGAAAGGCGATGATGAGAACCTTGCCGTGATAGATAGATGAAGGGATAAATATGAGAGATATTTCAAAGGCAGCATCCACAGGTCTTTTGACCACCTAGATGTCCTAGATGAAAATCACTCAGTCAGATATTCAAAGCACTAACACTGCCAGGGCTGGGTCATGGGTGGTGATGAGGTATAGGGGTGAGTAGATTTAAATAATAGAAATCTAAAAACATGTACATATTCTGGGTACCATCTAATACACAGAATTATGTAATGAATATCTGCTACTAATGTTGATTCAGGAAATGTAACCTATCCATTTATAGAATGACAGTTCTTAAGTGATACCTGAAAAAAAAAAACTTTGTTATTTTTCCTCAGATTCCCTTAGTCATTTCTGTAGGAGAGAATTTTTATGACAGAAAATTTGGTCTAGTGGGCCTTCAGTGATAATCCATGTGACAGATTATGAAAATAAAATCATGACATCACCAGGGCTTCATAACTTACATTGAAATCCAAGTTCTCTTGATAACTTGTATCCTATGTAAGCTTCTTAGTCAAAAATACTCATGGCAATCTAAGGGCTTATTTGTATTGAAGATTAAGGCTTTTTCTATTCTGCTACTGCACATAAGAATGTTGGTAACTAATTCAGTCTCTAGGAAAGGTGAAAAAATATCCAAAATAAGAAATG